TGCCCCTTTTTAACTTTGAGCACCCGCCCCTTTAAACCTCTCTGCACGTCCCTGCACGTTGTAGGCACTATGAATGATACTTTGTCAAATTAAAAATATGTTCATTACAAAATATGTACGTATCTTTATTTTTTGTTAATTGCTTTTTTTTTCTATTGGTCTAACATAAGGCTATACTTGTTTTAGTAAACTAGTATAATATTTTGTTTAAATTTGTGGAAATAGAGAGCTGAATACATACACACATGACTGTAACGAACACCAAAAACCACATAAAACTTTAGGAAGTCTCGCGGTTCCACATTTCAAGCAAAATCGCCTCGTTGCTTGCACTGAACGTAGATCAGCAGTTGTAAAAATCACACACATACGTCAGCAGAATTACATCAGCAGCTGCGCATGTAAATATAAACAAATACTCCAGATTTTGTACAGTATGTATTAGCATTACGGAAAATAATGTTTGCCACTTCATGAAACCTGCAACACTGTGCAGGCTAGAAATATTATTTCTAATTGTCGAAATTAAAACACAGACGGTTAAATATTGTAAGATAAGTACCTACATGATAAATGTTACCGTCTCTGGTCATCCAGTTTGAATTTGCTCAGAAACACCGCTGCAATATGGCGGCGACGAACTCGCGTCTCATAAGGGTGTAGTGATTCGTAGTGCCAGCAGGTGGGGCTATTGCCTTTGGCTTCAAACGCACTTTTACTAGATTTTGGGTATGAATACTTTTTGTGTGCCTTGAATTAATGTCGTCCTTGAATTCTCACATTTTTCTTTTTTTATATTTTCTTTTATTTTGTCATAACCCTAATAATTTTGAGTTTATGCAAATATGACACACTTCTATGTATCAATCTAAATGTACACAAAGTTACTGTTAGACACAGACCTCACCAAATGGTGTTTCGCTATACGAGATACTCTGCCAGGTCTTTACTGCTGCTTGTTTCGCAGTCTTGCTGTGTTCACTTTGTGTCTTCAATAACTGAAATGCATCCTTTGTTAGGTTGAGATGAAGTGACTGACTTGGTCATTTAAAAACATCACACTTCTTTGGTAGCTTTTGGGTTTCTTTTGTAGTATGCTTCGGATCATTATCTGTTTGCACTGCTCACAGGGTCAGTGTGATCAGCTTTGCAGCATTCGACTGAATCTGAACAGAGTAAAGCCGTGAACAATTGAGAATTCATGCCGCTCCTATCAGCGGTCACATCATCAATAAACAGTGTACCCAATTCTATCACCAGCCATGCCATAAAACTGTCCACCACAGCAAACGTATGATATGGTATGCTTCAGATCTCTTCTAATCATTCGTAGTTGGTTTCATCTATTCACTTTTTTCCCCCAAACTGCAGTTTCTTTTAGTGTCTTTTTTTCCTGGTAAAATCTATTCTGGCCTTGTTTTTGAGTGGAGCCATGAGTTTGCACCTTGTTGTAAACCATTTTTATTTACATTCATGAAGGTCTCTCTCGTAGACATCAACAATGGCTCGGCTACATCCTCATTAGCGTCACTTGGCAAAATGCTGTGACGTTGTTTTTCTTAACCAAGCAAATGATTCAGGGTCATCCACTTTAGTTTTTTTCTGTGGCACTTTTTTTGTTGTTGTGGAGTTCGTCAGTCCATTCATTTTTAATGGTAAATCCTCATGACTGATAACATGCTGCTCATGGGGGGATTACAAAACTATGTGGTTGAAATTGACATGAACACACTTCAAGAAACTCAAAAAGTAAGACACCAGGCTTATGCTTATCAAAATCCACAACTATCTATGCTTACACTACTGGCACATCATACAACTGACTTCACAGCGAGTGTCTGACTGTCTGCTGTCTTGATTGTCCTTTCAGTTCACAGTGGAGGCACCTGGAGTGACAATAATGCGTCAGACCAATCGTTTCTTCGTCTTTGGGCACCCTTCTGGCAAAGTAAGTATCACCTGATTGGATCAGTTTGATGAGGTTTGGTTTATATCTCTCTAACACTGACC